ATGAAAGAGACTAGTGGTACAGGGTGGGAAGGGAGTTGGAAGGGGATGGATTAATCCACATTGTCTCTAGACCTCAAACTCTGTCATTCTGTGAATCTGTGATCTATGGGAAAGAGGAGGGCACACAGGAGAGTCACTTAGGTACTATTAATGATGTTTACATTATTTGAAATTTAAATTCCTAGAGAAATGTACACTAGAGTGAAGACAGTTATTTGATTCACTATTTGATTCACTATTGTTAACAAAGATTTAAAAATTTACATGGCACAGAGCCTGCACGGGGAGGTCAGGGTCAGCCCTCCATAAAAATCTGTCCTGTTTTTTACCATCATTTCAGAAAGTACACATTACGGAAAAGATGACAAAGTTGGTAAAACAGACTTCAGGAGCAGATTTATAGTTCTACTAAAAACAAGGATGAGCAGCAACTCATTGCCATTGTTAATTTTAATGCCTATCCCAAACCCCCAAATCAACTCATTGATCTGGCCTGACTTAATTTGCCAATTTCCAGTGAATTCCATAGGTTTTTAGAAAGGATTTAAAAGCCCCGCCCTAAGTTTGAGAAAGGTTATTTGTGATGGTGTATTGTATGCTGTGGCTCAGACGGTAAAGGATCTGCCTGTAATGCAGGATACCCAGGTTTGTTCAATCCCTGGGAGGGGAAGATCCTCTGGAGGAAGGCATGCCAATCCGCTCCAATATTCATGCCTGGAGAATTCCATGGACAGAGAAGCCTGGCAGGCTATGGTCCATAGGGTTGCAAAGAGTCGGACACAACTGAAGTGACTTAGCACACACTTCCTGTGTTGATTAACCACGAAATTCAGGAGAAATCATTTCCACCTCAGGTTTCTAAGTGCCTCTGTTTTTCATCTCAATCTTCTAAGATACATTTTGCACTCTTAGAATAAAATACTTTATATGCTGTAACACACCTTCTAGGTCACCAATTTAGTTATAACAAATTTTGACTAAATTGCTGTTCTATGCTGTGCTAGGAGACAAGGAAAAATGTATTCATCCAATTCTTGAACAGTTTCATTCCCCAAAGAAATTACAAGTTGTGTTTATTTTGGCAGCTTTGTCACAACCACAGTCTATCTCCCAGCCTGGTTATTACAGAAAATCCAACTCACAAACACTAGTAATGCAATTCCACTAAATGTGAAGCCCAGTTCAACCTCCCTGGGTCATAACCTCATGAATAAGAACTAAATGATTCATCCGAATATCTGAACTTCCACAACTGTTTCCAGAGAACAGACTTTTGAGGTACTCACTGATTGAACCATAAATGAAAGGACCTATTATATTGATGGTCTTTTTTACCCTGGTGACTTTTATTAGCATTTGGTCAGAAAGATCAGCTGTATTGAAAGATTATCCTGGTCTCACAGTTTAGTGGAATCATTGTGTTAGTGTTAAACAGTACATTAAGCCCCTCAGAGCTGCCAAGAACTAATCGATGTCTGTTGAGACCCTATGTCTCCAAGGCATTTTCTAGGCACCATGAGGGCACATAGTAGAAGATATTATGACTGACCCTGAGGAAGCAAAGTATTGCTCATTTAAAAAATACGTATGTGAAGAATTATATCAAAATGGTATATGACTGGTTGCTAGGTAAGTGATATTAGTACTATATTTTACTCCAATGACAATTAGCCTTGAAGCTCCAAATTTACAAAATGCTGCTCTGCCTATAAAACATTTTAAGAAAATTAAACCTATAATTACAAAGGCAAAAATTTAAATTGCATGCCATAGCCAAGTTTGGGATATATCTAGATATGTTGTACTATACTCTTTAACTTTGAGCCTTTTATGGCCTTCTGTTATGGATATGTGCTGAATGATGGAATCTTTTGATTATTTTATTTTTCAATTACTGTTGAATGCCAAGCATTCAATATGGAAATAATGTCTTTATTGGGGATTTAAATATTTAATCAATACTTTTTATAATTGCTTCTTAGTCTATCAAAATTATTATAACTTGGCAATTAGAAAAGAAAAAGCAATAAAAGGCATCCATACTGCAAGGGAAGAAGTAAAACTATCTCTGTTTGCAGATGACATGATCAAATATATTGAAAATCCTAAAGAATCCACACAAAGAAACTATTAAAGCTAATAAAATGAGTTCAGCAGGGTTGGAGGATACAAGATCAATATACAAAAATCAGTTGGATTTCTACCAGTGAGCAGCCAATCCAAAAATTAAATTAAAAAACAGTTCCATTTATAATGGTGGTTTAGTCACTAAGTTGTGTCCAACTCTTATGATCCCATGGATTATGGCCCGCCAGGCTCCTCTGTCCATGGGATTCTTCAGGAAAGAATACTGGAGTGGCCTTGCTAAAAACTAACAAGGGGGCACTCTTTCTGTCCCCTTCTGATGTCGTTGTCAGAAGCTTTCTCTATCTCTTTTATAAAACTTTATTACACACACACACACACACACACACACACACACACACACACACACACAAAGAATACTGGAGTGGGTTGCCTTTCCTTTTCCAGGGAATCTTTCTGACCCAGGGATCAAATTTAGATCTCCTGCACTTCAGGCAGATTATTTACCACTAAGCTATCAGGGAAGACCATTTAAAATAGCATCAAAAAATAAATAAAAGAATTATAGGGCTTATACACTGAAAATTGAAAAACATCAATGAAACAAATTAAAGGAAAATCCAGTACGTGGAAAGACTTCTATGTTCATGGATTGGAAGACTTAATATTATTAAAATGGCAGTAGTCCCTATATTGATCTATCAATTAAACACAGTCCCTGTCAAAATCTCGACTGCCTTTTTTGCAGAAATTGACAAGCTGATCCTAAAATTCATAAGGAAATGCAAGGGGCCCAGAATAGCCAAAACAATCTTGGTAAAGAAGAACACAGTTGCACGGATTCACCCTTCCTGATTTCAAAATTTAGAACAAAGAAATAGTAAGCTAGATTCTGTGGTACTGGCATAAGATAAACATATAGATCAATGGAATAGGACTGACAGTCCAGAAATAAAACTGTAGTTTTATGGTTAGTGGGTTTTCAGTAAGGGTGTCAAACAAATAGAGGGGGGAAAAAAGTCTTTTCAAAAACATGCTGCTGAGGCAGATGGATAGTCACATGCCATGGAATGAAGTTAGATCACTAGCTCACACCATACACACAATTAACTCAAAATGAATCAAAGACCTGAATATTAGCACTAAAACTATGAAACTTCCAAGAGAAAATACAGCTGTATATCTTTGTGACTTTGGATTAGGCAATGGTTTCTTAGATACGATACTGAAAGCGCAAGCAACCAAAGAAAAACTAGATAAATTGGATTCCATGAAGACTACAATCTTATGCTTTGACATTTCAAGAAAGTGAAAAGACGATCCACAGAATGGGAGAATATATTTGCAAATTCAGAAAAAATATAGAACTCTCAAAACTCGATGGATAGTGAACAGGATCCTACTTACTGCACAGGGAACTCTTGCTCAGTGTTATGTGGCAGCCTGGATAGGAAAGGGAGTTTGGGGGAGAATGGATACATGCATAGGTATGGCTGAGTCCCTTTGATGTCCGCCTGAAACTACCACAACATTGTTAACAGGTTATACTCCAATGTAAAATAAAACATTAAAAAAAAGTGAAATCTGAAAAAAAAACTGAAAAGACAAGTAACCAATTTTAAAATGAGCAGTGTTTGAACAGACATTTGTCCAAAGAAAATATACAAATGGCCAGTAAACACATGAAATATGCTCAACATCATTAGTCATCAGGGAAATGCAAATCAAAACCACAGTGAGATACCACTTCACACCCATTAGGATGGCTATAATAATAATAATAATAATAATAATAAAAACAGGCAATAGCAAGTGTTGGCAAGGATGTGGAGAAATTGAAACTCTCATGCATTGCTGGTGGGAATATAAAATGGTGCAGCTGTATTAAAAACAGTTTGGCAGTTCTTCAAAAAATTAAACATAGAGTTACCGTATCCAGCATTTCTACTCTAAGGATTTACCCAAGGGGAATCAAAAACATATGTATACACAAAGACATATAGACAAATGTTCACAGCATCATTACTCATGGTAGGCAAAAGGTGGAAACAATCCAGTGTCCATCAACAGATAAATATATAAACAAAATATGGCCAGTCCATACAAGGTAATATTATTTGGCCATATAAAGAGATGAAATACCAATTCATATTACAACACTGATGAACCTTAAAAACATTATGCTCAGTGAAAGAAGCCAGACACAAAAGGCCACGTGTCCTATCATTCCATTTACATGAGATTTTCGGAAAGCTATAGGGAAAACCATAGAGACAGAGAGTAGATAGTTTCAGTGAATCAGTGAGGTAAATGGAAGTAAATTAATGAGGTAAATGGAAGTGATTGCTAATGGGTATGGAGTTTCTTTGGGGAGTTTCTCTTCCAGTGCTCTGGAATTAAGCAGTGGTACTGGTTCGTAACTCTGTGAATATACTGAAACTCATTGAATTGTACACGTTAAAGGGTGAATTTTATTGCTTTTAAATTATTTCTTGATTTTTGAAATTACTATTATTTCTCCCAAGCACTCTACAGATTGTTCTAATAAAATATAACTTGCAAAAGAATATTTTCATTAAAGCACTTATTTATATATTTTGCTCTGAAGAAAAAGACAACAGTGACTTCACAATCAATATTTTAGAGGGCATGAAATTTTACCAGCTTTAAGTATCAGCGTAGATGGAGGAGTCCAACGTTTCTCTCACGCCACACTGTGAAGAAGAATCCCAGTTCATCGTTTCCATTCTCGTTAGCTTCGTATGGGCCCTTCTCCTTTGTTGTTTCTCTTCGGTTGCTAAGCCGTGTCTGACTCTTTGCGAGTCTGATCAAATGTTTATCATTCTGAAGTTGAGGGAAGAACCCTAAGTATTCTAATCCCAAAGCCTCTCATTTGCTCTCTTGTTCTTTCCCAGGTGCTCCCTTTCCCAAGCCAGGTGGTATACAACAGAGTGGGCAAATGTGGGAGTCGGACCGTCGTCCTGCTTCTGAGAATCTTGTCAGAGAAGCATGGATTCAATTTGGTCACGTCAGACATTCACAACAAAACCAGGCTTACTAAGAACGAGCAAGTAAGTTGTCTTTGCTTCATTTGCGCAATTAATGGGTGCCTTCCGGAGCACCCTTTCACCCCTAATGAATGAAGACCAGAGTGACAATATCATACTGTATTTTTGCCAGAGTGTGGAAGGAAGTTTAAGTTGAGGGTTCTGACGAAGTCTGTAAACCAGCAAGTTTCCCTGAAGGGATATTTTTATTAAGACCAGTGAAGGATAGAGTACATGGACATTGTCTGTTTAGCTAAAATTAGCAATGATTAAATCTCACATAGTTACACCACTGAGCTATAGGTAACGCTGACATCTTGGGAGTAAAAATAAGAAATCTTGATTTTAGTATTTCTTCCTTTTCATTTTCTCACAAATGTCCTAAGTTTTTATGGTTATAATAAAGAGAAAACCCTCGGTGGGCCAGGAATCTGGTTGGTTGATGGGGGCACAAGCTTCCTATTACAGGATCTTGAGGTGCCAAAACAGCTCTTGGCCTATTCAGTGGTAACAAAACAATTACCCCACCTCCTGGGAACAAATCTGCCCTAAGACGGCTGACCCATACGAGGGACATGCTGGTTGGTAGAGCAGGAGTGCTAGGTTCTGCCAGGAAGCTGGGAAGACAGATACCACTTGGTAAGTTGACACCAGAATAGGGTTGATAGTCTCCATTGAGATGCTTTGCCAGTGTAGACAAGTTAGGCCTAGTGCTCTCATAGTCATTTTACAGGGTCAAGTTTGTTAGCTTGGTCTCAAAAAGTTGCTTTGGTCCTCTTCGGTATTTAGAATGATGGAATAGCCACCAGTATAAGTAAGGGCAGGCTTTCCTGGTGGCTCAATGGTAAAGAGTCTGCCTGCAATGCAGGAGACCTGGGTTCGATCCCTGGAGAATCTCCCTGGACAGAGGTGCCTGGTGGGCTGCAGTCCATTGGGTCCCACAGAGTCGGACACGACTGAAGCGACTAAACAGCAGCAGCAATATAAGTCAGGGCTCTTCAGAGAACAGTACCAGTAGGATGGAGATGTATCTATCAAAAGATAGACAGATATCCATGGATAGATGGACAGACAGACAGGAAAGATGTGCTATGAGGAACTGGCATATGCAATTATTGAGGCTGAGAAGTCCCATGCTCTGCCGTCTGCAAGTTGAAGGCCCAGCAAAGCCATTGGTAAAACTGAGCTCGAGCCCGAGTGTGAAGGCCTGAGAAGCAGGTGAACCCATGATGTAAATCCCATGATGTAAGGGCAGGAGAATATAATATGAGATGTCTCAGCTTAGTCCATGAAGCAGGGGAAAAAAAAAATCACTTCCTCCTTCTTCTCATTTTGTTCTACTCAGGCCTTCAAGGGATTGGATGAGGCCCACCCACATTGGGGAGGGAAATCTACTGAGTCCACTGATTCAAATGCTTATCTCATCCAGAAACACCCTCACAGACACACCAGGAAATATTGCTTAATCTGGGCATCCCTTGGCCAGTCAAATTGACACATGAAATTTAACCAGCACACCACTCAGTGACTAGGTAAATTTGGGGAATAAACAAGGTGCATGGTTTACTAGGGTGAGACCCTGATACCATGTCTACTTTCTTACACGATCTTCACCTTCCAGGCATTCAAAACCTCACACACACACACAGGGAATATGCAATAGCCTTCCTGTCTCTTGTCACAGGGAATGGCAGGACTGTTTTGAGAGTGTAATGCTGCCAGCAGTACTTTCTATAATGTCTGTATGTTTACTGTCTTCCACAGTATAGAGATCAAAATGCCCATTTCTTTGAAAACTTCCATCAAAGGGTCTCTGAGTAACAAGTCTAAATAGTCATAAGCAATAATCAAAAAAAGTGTTGAGATTAGATAGCTCAGTTGGTAAAGAATCTGCCTGCAAGGCAGGAGACCCCAGTTTGATTCCTGGGTCAGGAAGATCTGCTGGAGAAGGGATAAGCTACCCACTCCAGTATTCTTGGGCTTCCCTTGTGACTCAGCTGATAAAAAAATCTGCCTGCGATGTGGGCAACCTGGGTTCGATCCCTAGGTTGGGAAGATCTCCTGGAGAAAAGAACGGCTACCCACTCCAGTATCCTAGCCTGGAGAATCCCATGTGCTATACAGTCCATGGGGTCACAAAGAGTCAGACATGACTGAGTAACTTTCACTTTCACTTTTTCACTTACAAGTTCTGTAGTAGGTGCTCAATAGAAAAATTATATTTGGTGACATTTTAAGATATCACATTTTATCAGTAATTTTCATGGGGGTAGGTTCTCTGATTTCCTTATCTGATTGAAGAACAAATATAATTAGGGCTGGTTATGCCCTTTTTACTCCCTGAAAGAGAGAAACTATAATAAATAGCCTATTCTATTGCAATGTTATTACAAATATAAAATTTGGTTTTCTTTTGAGTCTTTCAGTCAGCTATCAGATTAGATTTAAATGTTCCTATGTATGGAAATTATGCTCAGTTCTTAAAGCCTAACAAAGTATAGTATCTGAACTTTAGTTCCCACTGCAGAAAAGTGTAAAAACCCAGAGGCAGCAAAGTAATGAGAATATTAGACCCTAAGATGTTCAGGAAGGCCCTAGAAAAACAAGCATAAAATAAGATATTTGAATACACTCTGGAATTTTAAACAAATCAACCTACTTTGTTTTCTATGATGAACTGTAAAGGGAAGGACTTAGATGAAAAATGAAGAAAACTTTACTAATGGTACACAAATTGTTAAGTCTTTTAGAAAGGGTTAAAGACAAAGTCATCCTTTCCTCTAAAACAGAGGTTAGTTCTCATCTGTTTGGAATGATTGGCCTGTCTGGAAGCCAGGGAATAGACAATCTTTCAAGGTTCTTTCCAGCCCTGTGATTCTGTGATATATTTATACAACTTCTGCCATGATCTGTGTATGATTAGTTGAAACATTTCTGATTCCTGTGGTCAGTGTGACCTAGAATATACTTCATTACTTAGTTATTGCAGATTCCTATTAAATTATAAGGCAAGTTTTAAAAAAACAGAAGGGAAAGGTATAGATACAGTAGAAAAAGCAAACAAACAATTTTGATGTAAAAACAAGCATAAGAATAGTGACAGTTGCTTCTCTGTAGCTAGCTGACTGGGCTGTGGCATATAAGGAGAGCCAGGAAACGCCAGGACAAGAAACCAAGTTTGAAGTAGTTCAAAGAAGACTTGAAACCAAGTCTCAAGAATGTTTAAAGAAACTCTTTTTCTTTGTTACATGCATCTTTTTTCTAAAAATTCAAAGTGCATGAAACAAGTAGAGAAAAAAATTTTATTTTAACCTAATATATTCAAGAAATAATCTGTGGTGTGAATAGCTCCCTTTTCTTGGTAATTTATTAAAGGAAAGGGGGGTATGTGATTTAGGAGATGAGTTAAAATTTTATAGTCAGTGGTTCTTAACATGAAAGAGTAGAACTCTGAAAATGTAGTTCCCATGGCAACATTGTTCTCTGGAGTTAATGACAAGTCTGCTTTGGTGCAGTGCGAGTTAAATGGACTCTTGTGGGCTGGCCCGGGACTCTCTCCACCATGTCGAACATTTCTTTTATGAGAAAATGTGTTCCAAGTTCCAAACTACTGACTTACAAATGAACTTTGGAAAAGTAACCACTTATGAGACTGGAGACTGGAATCATCTGTATCATTGCATCCATACACAATGGCATCTCTCTTGGGCTAGAGTCATATTCACCATACATTTCTCCCTGGAGGGTAGCTATCATCTCACACATACACACATGCACACACATGTACACACACAAACCCATTGAGTGCTAGATTTTAAAAAATCTATTTCATGGAATAAGACACTGAAGGGATTATTAAAAAGGAAAGAGAACATGAAAACAGCAAATGTTACAACATCAATAAAAATCCCATTACATCTGCCCTTATAAGAAATAGAAATGCCTTTGAAGTTAATATTTTAGAAAACTCTGCCTCCACAGAAGAACATGGACAGCTGGTGCTGGCCAAATGTTGGACCTTTTGCAGGGCATATAATGGGAACTCAGGATGACATCATTTGATTTATGCTCTAAACCCAGATTTAAATCGCTTGGGCTAGTTTAGATACTTTTTTTGGAAAATGGAGATCATGTACAACCTAAAAGATAAAGAACCATTTTCCAGAAGGCAGGAGGTGTGATTTTCAAAAGGCTCATAACCATCTTTGTTAATGGTCTGACCCTATCTTTCAGAATACTGCTCTGAGGATAATAAAAGCCAATATGTCAGAGGCATATCACAGACATAAGAATTCAAAATGATTTCATTCCTGTTGGAGAAGGGCAAAAACTGTTGGCATATGAACCTAAAAGATGGAGAAAGCAAATACATTTCCTATTTTTATTTATACTGAAGCTATGTGTATGTTTAATCACTTTAGTCATGTCTGACTCTTTGCCACCCCATGGACTGTAGCCCCAGTCTCCTCTGTCCATGGGATTCTCCAGGTAAGAATACTGGAGAGGGTGGCCATTTCCTCCTCCAGGGGATCTTCCTGACCCAGGGAATGAACCTCTACGTCTCCCGCGTCTCCCTCCCGCGTCTCCTGCTTTGCAGGTGGATTCTTTACCACTAGGTCACCAGGGAAGTCTGTGCTGAAGCTATGGAGGATTCCAAACTGAAATAGCGGCACCTGCTCTGTGCTAATTGTTTTACTCTATTATTTCATTTAACCCGTTTGGACCTAAAACTAGACCAGTGAGTGGGTACTATTTCCTATTTTATGGATGAGAAAACGAAGACAGCCAGATAAAGTCACTTCCCAAGTATAATAGTGACTGTCCGTGGCACTTGGGCTTGGACTTGGACCCTCCTGAACTCAGGAGCCACCCTCCTAATGCAGTGGCTATCTGCTCTGGCTGCACAGAAGGGTCTTTTTAAAACAAACAAACAATAATGTTTATTTTTTGTATATATTTTTGTCTGTGCTGGGTCTTCCTTGCTGAGGACTTTTCTTTAGTTTTGGCAAGGGCTATTCTCTAGC